ACTTCCAAATTCTAGATACGCGAACTTTACTAGATCAATCAATATTAGTTTATTAATAAAATGTAATAATCCTTGCAAGTCTATGCACCTATATAAATATATAATAAACAAATATGAAAAAACTGAAATATATTTATAAACCAAAACTTGCGGTTTATTTATTTCTTGCACGATATGTTACTTTAGGCAAAAAGTTCAAAATGTTTTTCCACAGTATCTTTAATAAAATGTTTATTAGACATGGTTTAGCGAGAACTGATAATAAAAGTTTCACAATTATATATTTTAGACTTTTTATGAATAATAAGTTAAGGAAATAAGACTTAATTTTTTCCAACTTTTGTATTATTTAAAAATTACATTTAACGATGAAAAGAAGAAAATTATGTTATTGGTATACCATTTTTTTTTTTTTTTTTTTTTTTTGTTGACTTTGGCTTCCAGTGATTTGATTGGCTGCTTAACCCGCGCGCAATGTACGGTGGGTATTACTACTAATAAAATAGCCAATGGCTGAAAAGGATGCTCATTTACTATGAATACAATAGCAGCGCTGGTGCATGCTGAAATCAAGCATGAAAAAATGTTCAAATAAGGACAGCAAAAAAAATTTGAATGGAGTTTAATGTCTAACACTTTATTTGAGAAGAATTCATGTTAATTAAGTACTTTATACTCATTTTATACATAAGAAATTCCTTTATATATAACTTTCAACTGTAGCAACGCTAAAAATTTTATGTTCGGTCACATATCATTGATATGGCATTTAAATATTACTAGATTCATTTAGATGACACCATTTTGTAAGGAATTAACCTTGAGATGCATTCATTTTACTAGGAAAGCAAAATGTTCTAGAGGGGGGTGGGTTGTGAAGAAACTCTATCCATATAATGTTATATAGGCGAACATAATGTACTCAAGTTCTTTTTTAATATAAATCAATTTTACATCTCCCCTCTTTTTACGACTACTATATTTCATAATCATTTATCTACTATAATTGTTCTTCAAAAATAAACCTTGGTATTATCAGTCCATGCATGACAATTTTAATTATGATAATAATTTTAAAATTACAGTTTTGAGGTTATTATATTCTAATACTCAATTAAAAATTAATTAAATCCAAAATAAAATTATTTTTTTCCATTCGTAGATTATTAGACGAGGGAGCGATCTGTGATGCATTATGGCACAAGCCCACTTTGGGTTGGTTACTAGCTTACAAAGTGTCTAAGGACTTGCAGACTACGAGTTTCTGCCCTACAATATGTGGACATCAGAAATGCTAATTATGTATTATATTAAAATGTATGAATTATAATTCAAGTTATATAGTACTTGTTAAAGCAATAAAAATATTCTGAAACTATGGTAGTATTAGTGATAGTATAGTCTTTAGTGATAAAAATGATTATATAATTGTATGTAGGTATGTTATTACTTATGACATCTTGTAATGTATAAGGTCACTTGATAAATAAAATCAAAATTAATCATTTTGGAGACTAATAAATATAAATATCCAGATCACAGTTTTGAAGAATGAAATCGATAGTAACATGGATAAAAAAATGAATTCAAAATATTTACAAATTCAAAATCAAAAACTGTAAATTCAAGTTGCGTATAAATCAGTTTTAAAAAATAACTTTTTAATGCGACATTACATGATGAAAGCAAAAAATTCTTTCTTTCTTTCTCTCTTTTATTATTATATGACTTTTATAAATCAAAAGATACTTATTTTGAATATTTTTCAATCAAATCAATTACACTAATTTCAGATAAACTAACAACATTAATGAAGATAATTATAATCACTCTTTTCATAGAATTTCTCATACTAAATTTAATAGTTTGAATTTAACCACAATACATCGTTAATTCCAAAGTTTCAGTTTTTTTTTTTTTTTTTTTCAATTTTACCTTCTTTTGTGAAAAAAAGAATTAAAGCAATCACTTCTTCCAAATCTTTTCAATTTCTATATCTTCTTACTCAGATTCAACCTTCTAATTCTTGATTTAAAGCTATAAAACACTCGAACTGAGTAAAAATAATATTGTTGCACTCAGTGATCGAATATTTGTTGTTCTCTATCAGTTAAAAAATGTTCCTGAGCGATTGTACATGAAATGTTATCAGACTCGATTTTTATCTACCAGTGGCAAAGACAAATCTTTGGAGAGATAACACTGGAAGGGTAGAAGATAAAGTCACGTTCAGATTCTAGAGACGCTTTTGTATGTGGGCGCTTGGAATAGAAGGAGTTATTCGAAAAGAAAGGTTTGCCAACAAATTCGCTTTAAAAATTTAGTACGAGTACCATTTATGACAGAAGGAGGTTTATAGTACTTCTACTGCATTTGCAGGTTAGTATGTTTCTTTGAAAGATGAGCTAGTAGTACAAATTCTAAATATGAGAATGGTGGTTATACCAGTTTGCGTTTCTTGTCCGTTTCAGCTCTAGCTCGGTGTTAAATCCCACAGAATTAAAATGTAATCCAGATTCACTATTTTAAAAAGATACGATTTGTTTTTAAATAAATAAAAGTTATAAATCTTGCGAATTAATACTTGTTCTATTGCTCAATTATATTAGATCTATTAATTACGAAAAAAAGGATAATCGGCGCCTATTAACTTAGGAGCAGTGATGCTTTCATAGAAGATTTACTAAGGGTCATTTTCTGACATTTCTGTGATATCTGACATAGGTGTCAAAATAAAAGTTACAGAAAGAAAAGGATGTGATATAAAAAAATATTAGTTTATTGTAATGAGAATGGCCAAAACATAACAGCTCACATTTCCAGAATGGTCCCGCTAATAAAAAGTGTGGCGATGTCGCACAACTTTACATGCCTCATAATGGTCCCAAATACTACTGTAAATGAGGTTGATGAACACAGCTTGTGCTAATAAATCCCATTCTTCCGAAACGTGGAGAATAGGTTAATTCTTAATTTTTCTTAATAAGAAAAATGCCTGGAGATTTTGAATTTTAATGCCTGAAAGTTCTTCTGAGAGTGTCCACGTCGCGTAATAGCTCTTTCTAGGGTATTTTAGACATACTGTAACTTGGAATTAAGAAGTCCATCCGGTGACTATGCAGGCCACACCAAATACAGTAAATACACTCTTCCTCCAGAAAATCGTGGGCGACTTGAGCTATGTGTGGCTTTGCGTTATCGTAAACAAAAATAAAGTCTTTTTCCAACAGCTCTCCCAGAAAGCCTCATGTTAAGGCTCAAGAAAGTGACCTCTATAATGTTGCGTAGTCACACAGAAGACATGCAGTGGTATACTTCCATCAAACATCAACGGCAAATACTCTCTTCCTCTAGAAAATCGTGGACAACTTGAGCTATGTGTGGCCTTGTGTGATCGTACACAAAGTCTTTTCCAGTAGCACTCTGAAAAACTTCATATAATGTTCAAGAAACTTATCCCTATAATGTTGCGTGGTCACACAGAAGACATGCAATGGTATGCACCCGTCAAGCAGGATGCTTCTCCACATATAAGGATTTCATTCCCAAGTGATTATTTCTCTCATTTAGCAGAACAATATTGGATTTCCAGGTTCTCTACAAATGAAGATTCGTCAAGAATCACTCAGTATACTGAATCTCGAAGTATCACTGAAAAAGCCATAAACCTAGTTTATGTCGAGGAACTGTGTACTGTAAACTTTCGCTATCTCTTGTAGGGGATACATACCGTTGGATCACTGATTGCAAAAGGTCTTCTGTGCTTGGCATCTGTATATAGTTTGCCCAGAAACTGTTCTACCAGATGAAATAGCGAGATCTTAGATAGCGCTCTCTAGTCGTCATTTCTTTACGGCGCTGTGCATTTAATTTGACTTCACAATCTTCCGCAGGTATCGTATTAGATACTCAACTTACATTTACTGTCCACAAGCTACCAGCAGTTTTTAAAGCCTAAATAAGAGCTATTATTAAATTATTGCAAAAAATGTAATTGTGTCTTCAATTTTGGGCATTAGTGTGTAGGAAAAGCTTCAAATATGCTTTGAAAATTGGCTCATTTGTTATTGAGAGTCACTCTTGGAGAATAATACCATTTTTCTCTTCTGTAGTTAACGGGCCATCGACTAACATTCTCGAGAACGAATTTCAGATTCTACAGCAACACTAAAATCTATCCGAACACATTAGTATTATTGAGAATTTATTTTACTCATTTCTCTAGATTAATTTTATTTATTTAGTATATGATAATATACAGTGAGTCCTAGGCTCACGAAATTAATTTTTTCTTGAAGAAAGTTTGTCATTCGAAATATTCGCTAAACGGAACAATTTTCCCTGTAAGAATTAATATAAAATGAATTAATCCATTCCTGGATTCCAAATAATTGATCAAAGAAAAGCACTGTGTATGTCAGTTGATAAGGCAAAACCTATTGAATTCATTAAATTTAACACATACATAATATTATCATATATAGACTATATTTAGCACAGTACTAAACATTAAAAATAATTGAAAAACTTGAAATATATTTTACCCTATTTTACTCTAAAAATATTGTGTCGAGTTAGAAAAAAAACTCATGAAACTGGAATGCCATGGACTACTTGAGTAATCAAACAGGGATATTTTTAGTAATGTCCACTGACTTCGAGACTTTATACCTGTAAAGGTTACAAATGTTTGATATATAATGTTACAGGTAGTAATTCTGTAATCATAATATAGTTTTAGTATACCAAAAGGTTTCATCTGTAAAGGTTGTTGTTGTTGCTAATGCTCACTTGTCTGACCTATAATTTTTAATAAAAGTGACAGATGTTTGATCTCTAATGTGCAGGATTCATCCTTTTCATCTATTAACTCAGTGTTGAGTAATCTAGTGAACAGCTAAGCGAATAATCGCTTAAGTTCAGAAATAGAAACGTAAACTCAAGAAGGGTTAATTATCTTTATTGCTCAAAATAAAAATATACAGTCGGCCCCTTTCTCAGGGCGTACAGCAAAGCCTCCACTTGGGCTTGAACTCAAAGGTGTAAGAAATAAGAATTAACTAATGAGATTTAGCCGAAGCTAACACAAATCTGAGCTATTTGGCTCCTAAATATCGAATTATCTAGCGAACTATCAAGGGCACGTAATGTGGCCGAGCATAGTAACAGCTTACAGAGACATAGCCAAAAGGCAAATGCGCGTCATTCAGAATCTTTTGATTCTCTCTCTCGAAGTCAGTGGAACTTCGATTCCTTCTCAATTGCATAAAACGCGATTCTGAAAACTCTCATTCTGGTAAGGAATTGTAAGCTGAAGCCAGGAGAGATAGGAAAGGGGCATAAACTTAGAAATAATTTTTATAAACTTAGGATAAACTTTACAAATAATACCATTTTTCTCTTCTGTAGTTACAAATGCTATGGGAAATAATTGTGTGAGCATAACATAGTTTCCGTATGTGGATTACCGAAGAATACATCAGTAAAGGTTAAAGATAGTTGGTCTGTAATGTTACAAGAAATAACGGTGTAAGCAGAAGTATTTTATGTGGTTTACTTTGGATGTGCCTGTAGATTACTGACGTCCTGCTTGTAGGGTTATTGCAAATGATTATGTAAGCGGAATATCTATTTTGTGTACGAAATACTAGAGGATATGTATGTCAAAGTTTCAGATAAAATAGCTGAAGACGACATCACAGTACCAACGAGAACACAGTTTTTCCATAAATGAAAACAGAAAATCTATAGCTGAAAACAGAAATTTCCGGTATGGCATAATGGAATATCCTAAGAATTGTCACAGCCTGAAAGATTCCTAGTACCTTTAGCACTCGTTGACTTATCGATGACTGTCATCCCAGTTAGAGTTGCCAAAGTAAGTGATAAGGCAAATGTCATTAACAGAGCCGAAGAGGTTGCAGCATGTGCTCCAATGACCTACGTTAATGAATTTTTTGCGTTTACTATACAAAATTGCGTACGAATGAACTTCAAATTTATTTAATTAGTATAATAAGATTAAGGAAATCAGCGGAGAATGCTCAGTCAAAATTATTTTAGATGTCACCAATAAAATATTTTATACCTCTATGCAAAGTTTATATCTAACTGTTTTTCCTTATATACCATAATTATATCTAATGATACATTACCATACTTTACTATAAAAATTTATCTTAATGGATTTACTTTTTTAAGAATTAATTTTCTGGAATAAAAATCCATCTTTTGCTTCAAAAATTGAGCTACGGAAATAGTAAGCATACATTCAATTTATAAATTGTGTAAGAGGAATGTGTTACATCCAAAGATTCCGAGTCGAACAGTAATTTCACAGGTTATAAAGATCTTCTAAAAAAGAAAGAAAAGCAGCTGAATCACTTCTTAATGCATAAATGTTCTTCGGAACACCGGACATGGCAAGAACTGAAAAAGGAGGAAAGGTCAAGACGCCATATCCGCATTTCGACCGTTATGTCTGGAAGTATCCATTAATCACTTAGGCATGTTTCCTGTAAAATCACTTGCGACTTCAGTCATCATCCTTCGTAATGCTCAGTACTTCCGATTGCTGCATTTACAAGAGGGTTTTCTTTTCACGCAAGAGTTTTTAGTGCAACTCAGAAAAAATACCTGAAAAGATTGATCGAAGGAACTTAGTTAATAATATGCTAAGAACGAAAATTACATATTTTTTTGTTAAGTATATAATATGAAGCTCATATAAAATTTAAGAGATACATAATTTAGTTGTGGAGAAAATCTCTACTTGTAATTTCTGCTATTGTCCTTTTGAAGAAAAGTTATCTTTTCACAATGGCGGGTTTTTAACATGTTTCGTTTAAATTTAAATGAATTATTATTTTTACAAGCTCTTTTTTTTTTTTTTTGTGTGTGTGTGTGTGTGTGTGTGTGTAATTCCTCTTCCCCTCGACTGAGAAAGAAAACTCAATAAATCAAATCAAGATGGCGATAAGTTGTTGTCGACCATATTTGGATTCGGGCGCTTTATAGAAACTATTGCTTTCGTTTTGTGACTTTCCGTGGAATCACTCTGAATATACGTTTCACTTTCCAAACTGTTGCCACCAAATATTATCGCCCAGTATTATATTTGAAGAAATTAAATAATGAAGAATCTACATGAACGTATGTATGTTTCTTGCATTGTGATAAAACAACGGTACTTAGAGTCATCAAATTTTGAATGACGTAATCCTACTACGAATATGAGCACGTAGAAGCTCAAATTTGGAATTTGTTTTATTATCGATTTCCTATTTTGCAAAACTTCAACGAATTTTTGATTAACAAACTTAAGGATTTCAAAGCGAGCCATGGCAACGTTATACAGAAAAAAACATTTTTATCTCCAGTGCTTGAGACTGTGTATCGGAAATACTACAGCTATGCTCAATTTAAAATATTTTGTGGTATTGCTTTTGAACTAAATTTTATCGTTTAAGTGTGAAGAACATGATATTTAATAAATAAAGGTAACACACAAAATGTTTATAAAAACGCCCCTTTGGAAGCAATTTAAAATCTGAAACCTTTCAGTTATTCAGTTCACTTCAGACAGTTAGACAAAATCAGTCAGTTAAAAAAGAAAATCTGAAAGGTTTCAGATTTCCTTTTTTTAAATTTTTATTTCTTCATTTATTTATTTGAATTGGGGTTGTGAGTAATCAGCTGTGCCCTCTACAAGAATCAAACCGAGACCTTCCAGCTGCTAACTAGATATACTGATTACTATAAATACAAGGACGCGTAGAAGGAATTCTTTAATTCCCGCCATGTATAGGGCAATTGAGGAAGAAGATGCAGTGGACTAGATCAAGATGGTGAACAGTTATTATTGACAACATTTTAACTCGAGTGCACTATAGAGGCCATTAGAAAGTTTGTACCGAAAAGCATGGAGAATAAGCTGTTCTATGTCCGGGAATCAAACCCGAGACATTTCAGTTGTGTTGACTATTACACATCAAGGACATTTAGAGGGAAATCTTTAACATCTTACAATTTATTCTGATTTAAAGTTACTTTCCCTCAATGAATGCAAAGTATTAGTCTAGGATTATTTAAAAAGATACTCACCTGTGCGCCGAAGAGTTCTAATATTTTAGCATGGTATTTCAATGAATTCAATTAGCACACTTGACGCGTACTCGAGACATCCAGGTTCGAGTTCTGGTGAGCACATTGCTCATTTTTTATGTCTCCTGCTTCAAAAATAAACTAATGACTCTATAAGTTAACTGTAACTATGAAATGCAAGCATACTCCACACACTAAATATAATGCAAGGGTAAGTGATACCTGGATCACGAGTTAATGTTATTAACGAGCAAATTACATTAATTTTAAGTTAAATTTTATAATAAAAATACAGTACTTTTCTTCAACTGTCTTTAAAAAAGTACCTATATAACGTATTGATTTTACTTTAAAACTTTTGCTATGTCATATTGATTTGCTTCAAATATTACTTTAAGACATATTTTTTTAAGGGTGGAGGGGGCTCCCCGAAAGAACCTAATAGTTCTAAGGGTTCCATGACTGGACAAAGTTTGAAGACCCTTGACACAGATTGATATAATATTTAGTGTCAGATGAATTATTTCGGAACATTTTAGTTTCAGTTATTAAGTTTTCAGAATACCTTATCTCTAAATACTAAAAATATATACGTTACAGTTGTATTCTTTTCGCTAAATCACTGATGACACCTATACTGAAATATAAACAATTTGTAATTCTGCTCTTAAGATTTATTAGATTCCCTTTGCGTTGCAATATCACGTTTTTCTTTCAAACAAATTCTCCCAAAAGAAAAGAGAAAAATTCAAGAATCACTTTATTTCATTTGTACTTATTAATTTAGTGCACTCATAATTTAAAATTAAAAATGGTAAGACTATTAATTTTGGAATATATTAATATTATTGTAAAAATTTATTTATGAGTTTGATGATCTTACCTCAGCTTTCACACATGTTTGGATTTTGCAGACAAACTGAGCTTGATCATTTCTTAAAGACATCGGTATGTGTAGTAAAGAAAAATCAATTTGTTATTAGTTAACTAACAAATTGCCCTTAATGATATTTCTCAAAAAGCAGGATTTTTTTTTTTAAATAAAATTCGCAGAATAAATATCAGATTAGTGATCTAAAATAAATTGGGCATATTGATAGTTTTACGTTTGTTAATCTTAGTGGGTTGGAAATAATTTTAAAAGTCAAACCATTTGGCAAACTGTAACAAAAGGATTATTTTTTTTTTTTTTTCTTTTCAGTTCCTTAAAATTATTAATTATGAACCCAAGAAATATTAATTATGAAAGCCTTAATTATGAACCCAAGAAACGTTCTTTGAAAATGTTAAATTCTTCAGTAGTTACTTCAGTAGTTTAATTTTTATTTAAATGAAAGGGATTTACATTATAGGTTGCCCTTAAATAAAGCTGAAAATATTTCTCTGACGAATGAAATAGAAAATTATTAAAAACTAAATAATAGTCCTGTTGTGTTGTTGTGACTTATCTGATAGTAACAACAGGACAAGCCCACAAAATTCATTGTGGCAAGGAGTGCAAGAATGCACCTGTCGTTGGCAAGAACCTTGAGCACCATACAGGTGATAGTACGACTTTGCTCATTTCCGCCCCCTCGGTTTCGATGGAGAACATCTCTGAGGCGCATGTACAAAAGTCTCCCATCTCTCTACCATCAACCTCGCAAGCGGACTTTCGGCTCGCCGTATATTTGGAGTGCCTCCCTGCTGCACAGACACTATACATTTATAAACATCCATGCCTACTGCGGGATTCGAACACGAGTCCTTCGTTAAGGCAGTCAGCATCGCTAATTACTATCCCGCTTGGATGGCAAATGGTAGTTTTGCAAATTTTTGTTAGAATATTTGAAAAATTTTTATTGATTAAATTGCAAAAATAACATTTCGAAGCACTTTTTACGCTCTTTCTAGTAATATACTGTTAATGAAAAATTCCACTGTTCAAATTAAACTTTCATTACAACTGACCTTTCGTCCTTGCTTATTAACTAACATTTATTCCAGTAAAATTTTAAACGGTTGAAGACCATGATTCCCAAAAAGGGAATAAAAGGATGTCGGTGAGTCCACCCTAATTGTGTCCAAAACCACTTCACATTATCGTAAACTATTCATCTCACTTGCTCGTTCATTTGAAACAAACTAGCTACCTCGTCGTGAAGGACAGGTTAGAAATTATCTCAGCACATATGTCTTCATGAAGCATGCTTCTAAATTTCGAGCATGACTTATTCTGCCCCGTTCAAGGTGTCCTTTGATAAAGTGCCACTCACATGGACCGGGTCTGACTTTTAATGGCTGACCCCGCTATCAGCTGTCGACACGATAGGTGCAAAGCCCTCGGAGAGACTTTATTTAATTGGATGCAATCAAAACGGCCCTCTGTCTGGGATTTCGGAATCGCACGCGCCAATCCATGTTGGTTGGTTACAAATGGGGAAGTAGATGTGATGAAAGCAGGAATGTTGGAAAGCACCCTTGCTCCGTCACAGCGTGAATTTAATTGTTCACCGGTATACAGAAACGACTCAGAGTTTCTCGATTTAGATTTATAAATAATGTGGCCGACAAGGAAAACGTTTTGGAAATTCTGATGTTGAATTTTGTATAAAATAAAATATATACAATGTAATGCTTGTTTATAGCACGGATAATATGTAAATTAGTTTATTTAATTATGGTAAAGCACTCGAGGGCTATCTGCTTAGGAAAAGGGATGCCTTTGTGGAGGATTTTCTAAGGGGAGCTGGCTCGTATACACGTTACACTGTAGAGACATTAGGATTTTTTGGAAGCCAGAGAGAAGAAAATATGTAACCGCCTTCGCCGGGAATCGAACCACGGACCTCTGGAATACCGGCCCAGCGTGCTACCGTTACACCACGAAGGCACGCTAGGGAAGTGGGAGAAATATCTTATATACTCCCCTTTTTAAAGGGCGACTAGGATTTTAGGGGACCTAGTTGCCAAATCCTGGGTGCGGATCAAAATATCTCGATCAAATCCTGGGAGAAACATCATCCACAACCCTTTTAGTCCGGGCGCCACTTGTAGAGATATTAGGTTAATTGGAAGCAGAAAAGATGAAAAATATGCAACCGCCCTTCGCCGAGAATCGAACCACGGACCTCTGGAATACCGGTCCAGCGTGCTACCGTTACACCACGAAGGCACGCTAGGGAAGTGGGATAAATACCTTATAACACATGGGAAAAATCACGAAAACGTCCATGCAACCAGTAAGCTCTCCAGGATTTAAACCTCGGACCGAACTGCCAGTGTTCGGCGACTTGACCTCTCGACCGCTGGTGGGTGCATGGACTATTATTAAATTAGCAATTCATAATATCGTCACTAATTCGGGTTACGTAGTCATTCGCATAAATAGGATAATGGAAATCTGCATACAAAATATAAATATTTATAGTTTATAAAGAAAAGAAATTGTAATCAAAAAGCAGGTTAAATATGAATTAATTTATTTATTTCATATAAATGATACGTAAAAAATTCCATGGAAATTTATAGCTGAGAGTTATAAATATAGCGTA